CCAAATGTTCATATGTAGTCTGTGTTGGCTGGCCTGAGTCTATTATATTTATCTCCTTCTTTAACGCTCTCCTAAGTTCCGGAAGTCGCCATTCACTCCCACCATGGTCGCGTGTCATGTTCCGCTTGATCTCCGCCGGAAGTTTTTCAAGTATGACCGGTATAAGTAAATTTCCAAAGGACTCATGACCTTGACCTAGGGACTGTAGACCACGGATATATGCCTCCATCTTTTCTTGAAACGGTCTTAGACTAGACAGTTGGGAAGTTGGTCTAGGTAAATCCAGCAAACCTTGCATGTACGCATTTACAACTTTATGTGTCTGACCAAAACGTTCCTTGAGTAAATGTATAGCTTCTGAATAGTTTCCATGTGTAACATTCAAACCATCAATGACACTGGCAGCATCGTCGGACAATAGAGTTTTCAGATAGCAAAATTTCTGCACCTCAGATAGTGACATGTTGTTATGTATACTTGACTCGTAACAGTCCCAAAATGTTTGCCACTCCAAAATGTCTCCAGTAAAATTTGGTAATGTAAGCTTCGGAAGTTTATGAAACTGTGATGCAGACTGAATTGAAATGTCACTTACGTTATTCGCCGATGTACTATTATTTCGGTTCCCGGAAGTTCCTTTGGCAATTCTGTGCACGGGTTGTGCGGTCTCATGGTTGTTACTATTTAGGGGCTCCTCAAGTGTGGTATTATCAAGGGTAATCTGTGGGGAACGGGTGATCTCCACGGCAGCGCGGTGTTGAGCCTCCAAATCTCCAATGCGTAGCCGAACTTCCAGCATATAGTCCTCAGTCTCGAGCATCTCTGTTTCCAGGTCTACGTCATCTACCTGCGACATAATCTCCTCGTTGATATCTTCCAGCGCCATAAGTTTGTTGCGTAGAGTTTCGAAAACGGTAGTAAAGTGCGTATTATCGCCCGCATATTCTTCTAATTTGCCAAGTTGACGTGTTATCACAGCCTTATGTGCACTTCTTCTCTTCTTAATTCTCAAAATATCCATAATTTCTGTTTTGTCACGGCACCAAAATGTAAAAGTGGTCAGTGAAATAAGAAGCAACTACTTTGCGTTGTGTCTAAAATGATAATGTTTATTAACGGTAAAATAACAATACAACGGAAATGACGTCGTATGAACTCTTCTTCCCGCCAACGTAACGTTGTCTGCCTTCCGTTCCCGCTAACGTAACGTCGTCTTTACGACAATTGTGTTTAGTGCCTTATCATTTAGATCCCACACATTACTATGCGTCACCTGGGCTTGCATGACACGCCATATTAAGAAATACAGGCATCGAACTACAGTTACTCGATGATATTGACATGGTTCTTTTGATTAAAGAGGGTATTAGAGGAGGCGTGTTCATGATTTGTGAAAAATGTATGCTAGAACCAAAAACCCCCAACTTCCTGAGTATGATCCATCAAAGCCTTAAAAACATATAACTTACCTGGTATGAATAATTTATATGAATTCATGTCTAATCCCCCTCCCTTTTTGTATGGTTATCAGAAGAACAAATGTAATATCTAGACATAATGAACATTAGTGATAATGTAGAGACTGTATATATCGTTGAGGTGGACTTAGATATCCAATTCCCTACACGACCAAGATAGTGACTGAAAAGATGACTGTGACAAATGACATGCTGTAATGTTCCGTGAGAAGCTGGCCTTAAAAGATTAAACCTCTAAAAGGCTAGTACAAATGTACCTAAATTGAGGTCAAAATCAAAATATGTGGTCCACTATAGAAATTTGAAATTAAATCTGTCACATGGTCACAAGCTGACTAAAATACATTACGTTCTAGCTTTCATTACGTCAGCTTGGCTGAAACACTACATTGATTTTTAACAGAGACGCCAGTTGGCCACCACGATCACATTTGCATTTCTTTTTACAAATTAAAGAAAAATCCAACCTTTGGTAAAACCTTGAAAAACATGAGGAAAAGAAAAAAATAGAGCTAATCAACATTTCAAAAACGGCTTAGAAAAAAGTATGTGCAAATCAAAATTTCAGTTGCCTACTTGACTAAATCAGGTAAAATATCAAGGTAATAATACGTTGCCTTTATGCGTGAAATCTATACATCAACACCTTACGTATAATTCTTTCGGCGAAGATATCGTGTGTGTAATATTTCGAGTGACGTAGTGATTGATTTCTTGTTTATAGAGAAATGTTTGCACCTATCTAATTTACCATTCACTTCCTGGATCCGTTTTCACTTCTTTTGGTTTACGTCCTGATTCCAGTATTTTCTGTAAAACCATCTATTATGGAGTCACATCACGTTTATTCTTCAACGGAACAACCCACAAATGACGAGGAAAAACATCTATAGCGATGAATAAGTATTTGATTTGATCTTTTCTTTTGCTAAACTAGATACCTCTGCCAAGTCAACATCCAGAGAAAATCTAGGCCTTGAGATATTACTTTTTCTAGTTTTTGAATTAATAATGAAGAAGTCTGTATAAACACTGTACGCATCCACTCTGTAACCACTGTCTAATGGCGTGAATACCTACTTCTTCAAGATTTTTTTCAGGCCCTGCTTATCTTATTGACGTAGAAATTTTGGAAGTCATCTTTCCAACTCATTTTTATAAAATGATAATAAGTTTACATGATATCTGATAGTTACATATTTATAAAGGCGCGTGTCTTTTTCACACTTAGTTAAACCAAAGCTATTTGAACAGAGGATGTGCACGCATCGTATGGCCCCCTTGAATCAGATTGCCGAGTGTTTTGATATTCTTTCTGCTTTGTATCAAAGGCAAAAATAAAAAACACGTTCCCTGTATGAAACCCCAGAAAAAGGATACAGTTTGAATATGATTTTTCTATCGTTATCCCTTTCCCTGTCAACCAAGAAAAAATGAGCAAGTCAACGAGCATATTCTTTTTTTTATCCCCGACAGACTCTGCGGGTAAAATATTAGATGGTGCATGTATGGGTATACCATTTAACTCTGTCACATTACAATGAATAGGTCTCCAAACTATGAATACAATTAAATAACTATTGAATTTATTTTTAGGCTCTTTGGCATTAAAGTAAACTTTAGAGATCATATAAAATTCACTTAAACATTTTTGATAATTTGTAAGTAATTTAAGCAATTTCTTTTTACAAAAGTAATTAAGGTTAATTTATATCTTTTCTTTGTTTTAAGCGGGCAGTCATCTTGAATTATTAGATTCCATTATTGTTAGTTTAACTTTATAACTTTTAAACAGGGGTCCTACTATTTTGATTTATAGGTATAACAGCCCAGAATCATTAGATTAAAGGTTATTTTTCATTCTCAGTTTATAATTACATTTATTACAACTGGTTTAAATCTTTCTTCGATAATCATACTTTTAAATAAAATAAGAACAGTTTCTATCGTCAACTGGTTAAGCTTAGTAATATTTAAACAAAACGTTAGTTTATTAAAAAATTGGTTGGTCAAAACTTATTCAATATTTGTGTTTTATATCCCTTTGCATTCAACGGGTGATGTCATCAAGACAGATTTTCCCATTACTGAGCAATCTTAAACTGAGCAAAAGTAAATATTAGGTAATAAATAAAATCATTCTATTTATAGAAATGGGTTTATATTTTCAACAACACAACATACATTATAGAATTTACAGGACTGTAAAAAATAACAGATCTATAGACGATGCTTTACGATAGACAGATGACAGATTGTCAGATGATGACAAAAGGATTCACTTCATCCCTTGGAATGAAGTAAATCTTTTAAGTGAAGATGGCTTATCACCTAATTGTCATTGTACATACATTACACATAGGACTGGACATTGTTATACGTCATCTTATACACTTACATATTATGAATTATTTTTATCGCATTCAATGCTTTCTTTTTCTCTTTCTTTCTTTTCGTCTTAGTCGAAATTTAATGATATTTGTCTTATTCATCGGTCCTCTGCACATTGGACACGTGGTTGAAGTCATTGAATCGAAACATTGTTCGCATATGTAATGTTTACATGGTGCTATTACAAAGTCAGATTTATCCTCATAACAGACCCCTATACAATTCTTTTCAGAATTTGGGCCTGCTTGTAATTTAAATATTTCATTTTTCATATCTTCTCTCTGACTTTCAGTAGTAAGGTCATCGAGTAAATTTAAGTAATCAAGTATATTTTCTTGGTGATATGCCATATTCACCTATTACTGTTTTGAAATACAGATATGCCATATTCCCCTATTACTGTTTTGAAATACAGATATTTATATAGAAGGCCCAGATCTACTTGAATCTTGTACAATATCTCTTTTTGCATACATTTAAATCATAAACCGTAATACTTTTAACAAACTGTCATATATATTATACTTTTATTTTTCAAGTAAATGTAAATATCTAAAAAAAAGCAAAAATAGAATCCTAGAATCGACCCAGGCTAATTATCATCGGACATTTAATTCATTTTAAGAAATTAGGGCCAAATCCATGCTCGATAACTCTGCTATAACACTAATAGCATGTTAATGAATTATTTATAAACGATATACCAGCCGTTTGAAATTGATATTTTCGTATCCCCGTGTAGCGCACTATAGTATGGGGTAACATTACAGGGAAATGGTACACGCTCATAGTTCACGCTGCATTACCTACATAAAAATGATCTCTTCAATGATTATAAATGAAAAATATGACTGATACTACAACATTGTATAATTATATTTGGTTATATTTTAGGAATGGGAACTACTTCTCTTCATCCAAAATAATGGGTAATTTCGGTATCCCGTATCAGGCCTCATAACCAACGGTTATTCTATAATAAGAACATAGTGGGACTTCCATAAATTGAATGACGTGCCGAAAATGGATGCTTTAATACGAGTTTTTTTGTACGGGAAACACTTCGCACGTCACTACATCTATTTCTTTGGTTGCGTCAATAGAGTTGTGTTCTGGTGAATTCAATGTGGTTTACTAAATGATTTCTGGATGGCAAACTACCAATCTCATTAAAATCCGATCATCGTTTTGTGCTCCGTTTACTCTTCGCTACGAAAAGGGTAGTGAAGCGACAGTTAGGATATGATTTTAATGAGATTGGCAAACTACCATCACCACAATCTGTTAAAAGTTATCCGGCACGCGGCAAATGTTGGGTTTTCCTATCTAACCTCAGTTTTTCGCCGATGAGAGAGATCTATCATATTATTTCGCTATAACGGAATTATAACAACCTAAATGGCAGGTATGGGAATGTCAAAGGTAATTCTCTATAATTTTGTAAATTTATATCCGAACCTAGATAAAACTAATTTGCGGAAATGTACCTTAACAGTCTTGTTCTGCCATTTGATAAAAATTATTACTTTTCAATTGAAGTTTATATTTTGTGGAGCAGTCAGACTGAAGACAAACGAACACTGGGCTTTTTTATAACCAGGTGAATCATATCATGAAGACATAAACAATTACAAGACAAAGAGAATAACGAGAACACACAAAATGCGTCTTTATTGAAAATAAACTGCACCATGTGAATGATTGTACATGTATATATAAACTTTCTCGAGTCAGATGATAGAGTCAGAGAAACAAATGAGTCAAATAATCAGCAAGTTCTTAACGAAAAATGATGAGGCAAAAGTACAGAGCGAGTCAGAAAAAGAAAGAAAGTCATCAGAAAGGGGCCATACAGAAAGTTATTATACATCTTAAAGTAGCAAATCAAAAACAATGTTTGTAGGGAAACAAATAAATGTTAGCCATCTGTAGTAAACCAGACCAAAACAAAGAACATGAGAATAAAATAGTTGATCAGAAGATGGTTGTGAGACATCTGAATAAAAAATATGAGTGTCCTGGTGCATGTTTAATATCAGATGAAAATTGTAATGCTAAAAACAAATATTATTATACAGAAAAAGACAAAGTTAATAGAATTTTGCTAAGAAATTAAATGACCAACAGAACTATAAACTAAAAACAGATGAAT